TACTGTTTTACTTGGAATAAACACCACATGACAAACTTCCCACACCACACATTACAAGTTGATTACGTGAACGACTGTACTCACACACTCAACTGTGAGAACGCTAACCTTTACAGGAGTCAAGGAAGAAATCATCTTTCATCACTAATGAAAATAATCTGAAACTTTACAAACCTTAGCATTTTTCGCTTGTAGAAGGTCTTCGCGAGTGTAAACGCGTTGGACGGGAGTTAGCCAAGTGCACAAGCCCCTCTTAACTATGGAGTCAGCAAAATTCTCAACTCCTGAAACTGTTATCAGGAAAATTGCTGTAAATCTGAACCAATCATCAAATTTCGATACATTGAAGCCTAACTAACCATTGTCGGACATCAGCTCTAAATCCACCATATTAACCAGCCCAGAGTATTCATGTGCGGTCGCCGTTACAATAATTGAACAGGGATCCGACCATTGTTTCAGCAACTAATAGATAAACACATAACTTTCGGTAAACGAATAATCTCGAAGAAAGTCCCATTATTAATTAAAACAAACATTTTTGCATGTTTTAAACATCGAAGTTGTTGGCTCTTTCCAAGAGATACCATTGATTCCACACGGAATAACCTGGACAAAATAAAAAGTAAGTATTTTACTGAACAACATGAAGGCGTAATATTCGCCCCAGGTATACTGTTACGAAATTACTTACCAAGCTTGGCAACGTGGCGAAGGATGGTATCATCTCCCAAAGCTGCGATCTAACAGTATTGACTGTTTCACCCACGTCAATCAAATATACTGTCAATTCGCTGTTGCACAGGGCACGATATGCAATTGCGTCTCGATAATACAGTACATATTGCCCAACCTAAAGTCAAATACAGACAGATACCCATGCGAAAAATTGGTAACTGTTGAATTATACATTTACCAGTTGGGCTATGCAGGCTAATGCATACACCACATACCCACTACCGCTTACCCAATACTTGTTAAAGTACCAATATAAACAGTATCAATTGACTTCCCGTTTCATAACTGCTTCCTCACCGCGCTCATGTGAGATTCGCACTCTTCATTGTGCTTACGTGACTTTCGGAAGGACGCACAAACGAGCTTACAAACAGACACACAAAGTTATCGCCTTATATATGGAGAGATTTTCCGAACTCCCATAAACTTGATCAGTATGTTCTATATAGGGGACGCGGGCCTCGTTCTACTGACCGTCGTGATTAGTACTTCATATTTCTAAGAAACTCGTAATGGTGGGTCACTCAAAATATCCCAAGCAATTAAGGGGATCCCCTTAATTGCTTGGAATATTTTGAGTGACCCACCATTACGAGTTTTTTAGAAATATGAAAAACTAATCACGACGCTACACTAAGCTTCGATATATTACTTTCTGTGAGGAATAGAAAAAAAAATGGAAGAATGTTTGAAATGGAATAACGCAAACTAGCTCGCAACACTTGATAGTTTATTCTGTGTTTCTTCAACTTCACTATCCCATCCACGAGCACCTGGTACTCATCTACTGTCATCTCTATCTACCCCCAAAAATCCGTTTCGCGAGGTTTACACATCTGTAATGCTAGCAGCTTCCACGATCATATGAGTTCACGACACCCCACATACCAGGATAACATCCTTCTTCCTTTTAAAAAAATCAACCAAAAACAGTAGTGATACAGGCAAGGGTGAAGTATTCTGAAGCAACCTTCGGAATCTCAGTGACATTCGGATTTTTCAGACAGAACTTGTTCATTTCTCGTTGTAGACCAGAGTACTCTTCTCCCAGCTTCTGGTCGATGGGAATAACATGAAACACGAATCCTTCGTTTACCGATTGACAAGAATAAGGCGAATCGACAATGCGGACCTAGAATGAAGTTTTAGGAGCTGATAAGAAACAAAAAATGGTAACACAAGCATGCCGCTATGTTTTCACGCACTTTTGTTGGGATCTGTAGCGGAAGGTCTTGTGAAAAACATCTGATGACCGCAGAAGGACGTTGCGTCTTTTGAGTTATAAGCCTATTAGCGGGACGCCCTTTTACCATGGCACCACAGCCGCGGGTAGAAAGCTCTTTCAACGGAGGTCGGCTAAAAGAAAATTTGGAATTCAAATAATTTCGCTTAACAGTGGAGAGCAGGACAAACCTATACACGCCAGTTGGGGGCCCTCTGGCTTCGTCACGCGATCGTTGATTTTCCTGTCGCACTCCGCTAACCTAACGATATAGATGTAAGTTTCCGTCAAACGAAGCACTATACAAGATTCTTACCAGTAGTTGCAATCCACCGTCCAAGCAAAGATATTTCCCGTTCTTTAGATGATAACGAACTTCATCGGCACCGTTCATATTTTCCATTATTACAAACCTATGACGAGGAGTAGTAGATATGAAGCAAGGATGAAACGCATACGCGAACTTACCCGTATTTGGTGTTTGAAGGCAGTTGCTTGGCAGGGATTTTGACGTTGTGTACAGTACCATATTTACGAAAAATGTGAAACACGTCCCACTGAAATAATTCAAACAAGTAAGCAGAGGAAGCGTCAAACTATCCAATGAAGAAAATAAAAAGAGAGGAAGTCAACCGTTCACGACTTAACTCACAAGATAAAGTTTCCTATGGCTAATTTAAAAACTCAACATAGATCAAACTCTTTTCGTGGGTTTCTCGAAGAAAGCGAATCATCACAAATTCAGTAACTANTTACGAAAAATGTGAAACACGTCCCACTGAAATAATTCAAACAAGTAAGTAGAGGAAGCGTCAAACTATCCAATGAAGAAAATAAAAAGAGAGGAATTCAACCGTTCACGACTTAACTCACAAGAGTTCAAAGTCATTGGATAAAGTTTCCTATGGCTAATTTAAAAACTCAACATAGATCCAACTCTTTTCGTGGGTTTCTCGAAGAAAGCGAATCATCACAAATTCAGTAACTATTGACGAAATACTACAATTCGTTGTTCACAATAATCATCCTCCCTGAGACTTCGCCGACATGGAAGAGTTGATGATCAAAATCCGAAATACTTTTTCTTGAATTGGACTATAGATTGATTTTATGTAGTTTCCCAGTTCATTCGTCTGATACTAGAAGTAACTCAGTGACCTGATTACGAGCATCATTCTAAACCGATGATTCTATACACCACATTTTCCTCGAAAATCCTAAAAGAGTCTATAAACCATTCTCTCCTTCTTATCTAGGAAATCATCGACGAAAAAGGTCAACTTACATCGGAAAAATGTGCTGGAATATTCTTAACGCAGAACTCCTTTTCAGGTTCAATAGAAGTCGATACAGAGGGAAACTGATCCATTCGGCCTTGAAAACTGTAACTTATATTGGATATTTACTGAGTATATAATATCAATAAACAAGAAATGCGACATCACAACAACCCGCTGAACCACAAACAAAAATGGGCCACCGCCACACAATCTTTAAACGCATATTCTCGGTTTTTTCGCGCGGACGGGATTTGATATTCGCGCCTTGTACGCAACTGCACCGATTTAATCACAAAGGCGANAAATACTGTAGGGGCTGGAACATAGGCTCGTTCGGACGATGCGGCCGACTAGGCCAGAGCACGAGTTTACGATAAGCAAGTTCGCTTAAGCACCGTCAGGGAACACCTTTTTCAAAGTTTTCTTGACGGAATTCTCTTGCAACAAGAACCTTGGTTGGTATGTGAGCATTCATGTGTAATTCGTTAATTTTAAGGATATCATCATTATCCTTAGCCAAAAAGCATAGGAAGAGACTAAAAAATAAGGCCGTGGGGTTTGCTTCCGACATTTGCTGATCCTCGGTCTCACGAATCATGAAGTTGGCGTTTCCGGGCTCACACACTTCTATCGTGGTCAGGTTCCTCTCCTTTGCTTCAATTCCGTTCAGTCGCTGGATTCGGTGCTCTTATCAGTTGTTGCCTTTTCTTGTTGACAACAGCACTATCACTGAGCTTACGCTGGCCTTCGAACTCTACTGGATGCTCGAACTCTTCGCATTCGACTCTTACGGGGAATCGCTGTCGCTTGTGGATGGGGGGAAGGGATAGGTTTGACTCTAGTTTGACTCTAGTATCTACCGATGACAAATCTCGTTCTCAAAAATGGCCGTTTCCAGAGAACCTGCACTGGATGTCAATCCCTGGACAGGTGGTGTGTTTGAAGG